GTGTTGATGGTTGGCTCTTTCATTTTAAATTGGATGATTAATTTTTCTTCTTTTTTATTTTTTATTTTTTTAAAGCTAGGATGGTTACTCTTTTGTACCAAAATGTTCACTCAGTTATAATACTAATTTAGACATATTCTTTTATTGAAGGTTGCCTCATTTTAATTCACTGTACATGTGTTACTTTGACGTAAATATCTTTGTTTATGTTGTACACAACATTTTTATATTATAAATTTGCTATTTAAACTTTAATTATGAAGTTTGCCAAAACTGTAATTTGCTATTTCGACTTATGTGTAAACTTTTATATTGCAATGAAATTGTTGTCATTTTGAATTAATTTATTACAGTTGATTTCTGTAGCAGTGAAATTGTTACCATTTTGAATTGATTTATTCTAATTAATTTTTGTAAAGTATGTGATACCAACATTATTTACACCGTGCCTTCAGGCACGGGCATCCACTAATATACTTATATAACACATCTCGAACAAACTTTAACTCTCACCTCAGTTACTCCATATCCCAACAATATCTTTCTAACTTTTATTCATTACCCATGCATCTGACCAATATCTTTTATCTCTCTCTCTCTCTCTCTGGTTTTTGGAAAGTGATTTTTTTTTTTTTTTAACTTTTTATCCATTTTAGATCACATTATCTCTTACATTTTTTATCCCAAAAAAAATGAAATTAACTAAAAAAATCAAAAAATTAAGGGTATGTTTAGTTTGGCTTTGTAGAGTAATTTTGGAAATTTTTTTCTAAAAATCTTGTTTGGTTTGTAATGTTTTCAAAATAATTTTCAAAATTACTTTATCTCTCTTACACATCAATCAATTATTTTTTCTCTCTTCTTTGTCCTTCTCAATCACTTTTTTCTCTCACACACATCTATTCAATTATAATAAAATATCAAATCATTCCAAACTCTCAAACTACTTGCAAAACACGCAACCAAACAAACTCAAAAAATTTATAAACTCTCTCTCCAAAACAATTTTAAAAAATTACTCTCCCAAAATCAAACCAAACATGCCCTAACTTTTTACAAAATTTTGTATTTGTAGAATAGTTATTGAGATAAAAAGTACGAAAACTTATTTGGTTTGTATTTTTTCAGAAATAGTTTTGAAAAATTGTTTTAGGAAGAGAGTTTTAAAAAAAGTGATTGATTTGATATGTATAAGAAAGAGAGAGTGATTTTGAAAAGTAAGAGCATCTCCAACGGTGAATCAGATTTTTCATCAAATCTGAGTCAAAAATGACTCATTTCACCAAATTTGTTACCAGATGCTCCAACGGTTCACCTTTCACCAAATCTGTCCCGGGACAACCGGGTGGTCGACCGGTGAGTGAAATTTTTTTTTTTTTTTTAATTGTTTGAACCGTTTTTGTTGAACTTTCTGAACTTTTTCCGGGACGACCGGGTGGTCGACCGACCGGTTGACCGGTTAGGGAAATTTTTTTTTTTTTTGAACTGTTTGAACTTTTTTTTGAACTATTTGAATCTTTTACTGGTTGACCGGTTGGTCAATCGGCCGGTCAACCGGCTGGTCGACCGGTTGGTATCACCCCAACGGTTAGTAACAGTGATTTGGCGAAATTTGGTGAAATGCTTCGCCTGTTCTCAGTTTGATAAAATGTTTGGTGAAATCTCATTTGGATATCGATTTGTTGCAATCGTTGGAGCATCAAACAGTAACTTTTTCATCAAATTTTAAATTTGATGCTGGGTTTGATGAACCGTTGGAGATGGTTTAAGTAACCAAACAAAATTTTAAAATTTTTTTAGAAAAAATTTATTTAATTTAATTACTCTTCAAATTTTATTTATATAAAATTTTTCCTAAATTTTTTTCTAAAAAACAAACTAAACAAGGCGACTCTCTCTCGCGTCTACCTTTTCCTTCTCAACCCTTTCTTTGACCATTTCATCTCTCTCTTATCTCTTTCAATCTTCTTCCTTCTCCCTTTCGCAATGATCTCTCTCTCTCTCACTAAACCTCTCGTCTGTCTCTCCCTTTTTCTTGAACGGTTCGTCTCTTCTCTCTCTCTCTCGCTCTCTCTCTCTCTCTCTCAATTTTCTTTTTTTCTTTCACACACACAGTGGGGCCTCTCACTAAGCCTCTCATCTGTCTATCCCTCTTTCTTGACCGTTTCGTCTCCTCTCTCTCTCTTAATTTTCTTTTTTTCACACACAAACTGGGGCAATGAATATCTAAGCTCTACCAAAGCCCTTAGTGAAGTGAAAGCTTTGGATTGTTAAAAATTGATGACGATAATTGATCAATTGTAGTCATAACTCTCTCTCTCTCTCTCTCACTCACTCTTGATTTCTGAACACTCATGCTTGGTGGTGATGTCAAGTGACGATGATAATTGTGCGATGATGCGTGAGTATAGCCTCGCTATTGCCATTTCTTTTTCAATATCCCTTTTTCAGATTTGGTTTATATCAGTATTTATGTATTTGGATGGTATATATTTTTAATTTTGAGTTTTGTTTGAATATGAAAGAAAAAAAAAATGCTTTTGTATGTATCATCCGTCCGATCCGACCGTCAAATCGAATCGTTCGATTCGGACTGTTTTGACCAACATGGCCGTCGAAAGCGGGCGATTCATATTTTCACCCAACATGTTCGGTTCGGCTAGCGGGAAGGGGTGACCCCGAGCCGACTCGACCGTGAACACGGATGCACTATATAAAAGTGTATTTATTTATTTCAAATCATATCATCTTTATTTTTTAAAATATTTTTATAAAAAATTGTAAAGTACAATGATTTTAAATAATCATTCGTGATGGGAATTCCAAATGGGCCTGGTTCCTTCCAGTCCAATTGAAGAGTGATGCACGGTCTCGTTTAGATAATCGTTTAAATTCGTTGAGAACATCAGCTTACTATTTTATGGGATCAGTTTTTTTTCCTAATCGTTATTTTTTTACCGTCTTTTTTTTTATACAAAACTAATTTGATTACGTATCTATCGATATACAATCAATGTAATTTTTTTATAGCCATACAACGTATGTTTGGTTTGGATTTGTAGAGTGATTTTGGAAAATTTTTTCTAAAAAACTTGTTTCGTTTGTAATTTTTTCAAAATAATTTTCAAAATCACTCTCTCTTACACATCAATCAATCACTTTTTCTCTCCTCTCTCTCCATCTCAATCACTTTTTCTCTCATACACATCTACTCAATTACAAAAAAATATCAAATCATTCCAAACTCCCAAACTCCAAAATTACTTTCAAAATACACAACCAAACAAATCAAAAAAATTTCTAAAGTCTCTCTCCAAAACAATTTTTAAAAACTATTCTCTCAAAATCAAACTAAACATAAGTTTTATACATTGAACAGTTCAAATTTTTGAAATGGAACCCGTGATGGCCCTCGCGCCAACAGCACCCTCCAGTCCTATTGGAGAGAAGGGAAGGCAGTGCCATTCCAAATCAACACGAGATCAACTCTAGGAGCTTAGATTTGGAGATGGGTCACTTTAATTTTTTATTTTTTGGGGAAAAATCATCGCGATTGGCATGGAGGAAGGTTGTATTTATTTCGATTCTTGTATCGGACAATATGCAAAGAGTCGCAATACTAGTCGAAGCAAACGATGCTATTTTTTTATCGATACAAGTTCATATGCGATACAGTATATGATACATATATTTTTCTCACCGATATGAGACGTATCATACCCTCTGTATTGTGTATTGTACGATATTGATAACATTATAGAGTGGAACTTATGATGTGGAGAAGTTAGCTGTCTACGGAATGTAGAATGTCAAAATGGAGGAGAACCCAGAAACAACGGAAGAGGCAAATTGACAAGTTCAATTTGGAGACCTGAATTATCCTGGAAATGAAACTCTCCTTGGGACCGTGTTTTGGTACACGAGGGATTCTCTTGAGAATTATTTTTTTTAGTGTCTTTTTATGAAAAACGGGTGAAACAATAGAAAGAAAAATTGACTTTTATGTGGTGACTTTTTAGTTAAAATATTCACTTCGTTGTGCTTCTCACCTGAAGAAATGAAAATATTCTGCTTTGACAATTGAGAAAGAAAACAGTATTTGCTTGGTTACACAAAAAAAAAAAAAGAAGAAGGATTTTATCTTATTTTTCCAAAATAAAGGTTGGGATTTATTTTCCTTCGTAGTTTGATTTATAATTTTGCTATTAAGAAAACTTGACAGTCAGCTGGTTGTTTTTTCCTCACCAAATCTTGTCATTTTTGGTGAGAAAGGAGAACAGTGTGTTTGTAGAAGAGTTATCTTTTCACCATTTTACACAATTTCTCACCTGAGCAAACAACCCTATATGAGGCCTTTGGAAAGATAAAGGTGGACATGTAGAGTGGGGGAGATAAGTAGGCAACGGGGGAGGGAAGTAAGGAGCGCAAGTTAGAGTTAGTTTTAAACTTTGCCTCTTAATCAAAATGATATATATAAGTGAAATGAGGAAAGAAAATATGATATGGAAGAAATTTGTTGACATCCTCTAACTGAAAGTTGGAATGTCATTCCTTTTTTTATTTTGATTTTTGACATTATGGGAAGAAAATGTGGGTATGGAAGAATTTGTTCTAAAATAAACAAAAGAGATGAATTTGTTGTAGGGGCATGGATCCTTTTGCCATCTCTGTTCACGACCTGCGTATTGAAATAGCTAAGGTCAAAATTTTGATTTATTTTCTCTTTCTTCATTTCTTTGCAACCAAAAAGAGGTTTATTAATTAATAAAATAGTAAGGAAAAAATAGCGAAATAAGTCATGGTATAACAATTCTAGTCATAGTATGGGGTCTGTGGGCCCTCCTGACTAGTTAGATGTATGCAACGTTAACCCTACGTGCACCCAAACCATACGTTAATTCTAGTCATACTACCTTTTTATCAATGATTTTGCTCTTTCCTCCTGATATTATTATTTGCTTTGGAGCATGTAGTGATTTTTGAATTGTTGATAAAAAAAAATGGTGATTGAAAAGGAAGTGCTGATTTTCGTGTGGTCTTATTTTGTGGCAATGTTACCTTGGGTAGGGAAGAGGAGGACAACGTTTATCCAAACACAATTGACTGCTAATCCTTCATCTCTCACGTTCTATCCTGGCAAGCCAGTTATGGAAGTTGGGAGTGCAGACTTTCCTAATGCTCATTCAACCATGAATTCAACACTAGCGAAGGCCCTGTATGGTATTGATGGTTAGCTTGCTTTTCTTGTCTCCTGTATTGTTGTGATCAATTTGGATTCTTATTTATTGAACCGATTGCGAGCTAGTTTATACTACCATTTATTGACAAATAGAATGTACCATCTTTATCTTATATTAGTTTGGCAAAGTGAGTTTGGTTAATCTTTTGAAGTGCTGAAACTGACATTTAGGAGACAATTCCCCTCATATCCCCAATTTTTCTTTAACTGACCATTTTGATGGGTTTGTGGAGATTCCATAATACATAATTATTAATGAAGTCATTTGTGCCCGCCCCCTCTACTACCAACACCACTAAAAAAGAAGAATTTTTATTTGTACGTTATGTAGTTCTAAATTGCAAAGTGTCGGAACAATGTAGAGGTACTGGTCAGGTCACGGTTTATCAGTATTGGGATTATCGAATGATGCGTATTGGGAATTGGGTGTCACGTTCGTGAGTTTTTTAAAGCCATTAGCTACTTATTTAAAATCAATGATATGTATTATTTGACACTTTTAAGCCTAATTTGTCACATTTTTGTATTCATTTTAAAGCGTTAACGTTCTATGATTGATCATATGGTCGTCTCTATAATGTTAAGATGGTTTGATCTGTACAGTTTTTAGTGTAATTCAATTAGTTTGAATTTGAAATTTTAAAGAATGGAAAAGAGGTCAAAATGTACCAATCAGCTATCCGCGTAAGTAGAATATGTATTAAATGCCTTCTTCTCTTCGTATATAAGGTTACAACTTGCATTACTGTTTTAGTGGGTACTTGTGTCCCACATCGCTAGAACATGTAAATTTTTCTCACCGGGTTCTATATAAATTAAAAGCCAAGGGCTCTCAACTGAAACGTGTGGTAACGGAACTAACATTTACATGGCCAGCTGAATAGTTGTTCCTCGAAGGCCAAATGTTTAAAGGTTAATTTTTAATATTATGAACTAACTGCTTCTGGTTCAAACAGCCATGTCAGTGTGCAAGCTTTGTTTTCATCGGTGGCACCATCTGTTCCGAATTGGAGAGCATAAAAACTGATACGAGGCAACCAGTTTTTTGAACTATGATGCAACACTTGAAATTAAATTTTAGGAAGTTTCAAAAGAGATGTAAATGCACAATTAAGAAATAAAACCTCAAAAGAGACAATAATGTACCAATAATACTCATAACTTTGTACCAAAAGAGACAATAATGTACCAATAATACTCATAACTTTGTACCAGTGGACGGATTGGATTAGTATTTTCATGACTAATAGTCCTAGGACTTTGTACTAGTGACTTCGGTCATGTTTGTTTGGACGGATTGGATTAGCATTTTCATGACTAATAGTCGTAAGACTACGAATCTGTTGGATTATGTATCCTATCTTTAACTAATAGTCAAGTTTAAAATAATTAGTCCCTACTTCAATTGTTTAACCAAAATATGGCCTTGTCATGTATTGTTATATCACCCCTACATTGTTGTAGGTGTAGATTTACATATATTAATGCAGTTCTCAGTGCATTGAGACAATGTTTAAAAAATATTTTGGATTACAAGTGTTTTAAAAAAGTTTTTTTTGTCAGTTTTTTCATTTTGATGTGGTTCCTTCTTCGTAAGGATAAAACCAGCTACAAACTTGGATTTCTAAATTTTAGAGTTGGCTAAAACTTTTGAACTGCAATTTTAGGGAGGACACTTGACAATGTCTAAACAAGTAATATATTCATAATATTTGAAACACTTATTTCTCAATGAGTTTATGAAGCTCTGAAGAGTTTCCACTGATGATTTACAATTATTTTAGTTTTCCCTGCATTGGATTCTTGTGCCAACTTAGTGTTTGACTACTGTTGTTTATTTAATGTCAATGGTAGGCTGGTAGCATTTAGGGCCTTTCTTTATGATTATTCAAAGTCAGTAGTTTCAATATGTTTCCATTCTTCCGCACACCAGATGTGCGGTGCTTGTATGATTCTCAGTTTTTTGATGGCCACTTTTTTTATAAGATTCCTTGATGACCATTTTTATTTATGCTTTATCCAGTTTTTGAAGTCGAGGATATTTTGGTAGTTTTAGATTTTTAGGATATAGGCGCTGGTGTTAGTCTATGGGTTTTAATTGTAAGTCATCTTAATGAGTTGCTATACATGGTCTTTATTAGGTCTAGGGTAGTCTTAGGAATCAAAGTTAAGGTTTTTATTTTGAAGTCATAGTCATTGTTGGAATAGGAGTTGTCAATGGAGCCCATGATAGAGGAGAACAATGAGTATTTTTAATCCAGATTAAGTAGAAACTCAAATTATTTTATGTCAAACTTGACATAACCTTACATTGCCAATAACTTTGGTGCTTCTCAAATGATGAAAGTTATAATGGATCAATGGTTCTACAAACACACCCACTTGCATAGCCAAATGCACACTCTGTGAGAGAGTGGGGGTTGTGGGATTCGTACACTCGCATGGGGTGTATTTGGGTGTGCAAGTAAGTGTGTTACTATCTTTTCTCATAATGGATTCATCACCAAGTCCTTTAAATCGATATTGCTTGATAGAAGCCACTTCAAATTCATGAAGATGACAATAAGAGTCCCTGTTCAAATTTGTGGCATTTTTAGTCTTAGCCTTAGTCTTTTGCGTCTTCTCTTGGTTGTGGGAGGGATGCAATGAAACTTTAAAAGAATCAACATAATTAAGAGGGAGATTTACGATCTAGAATTGGGCCGGACGGGTTTGGGCCGAACAAGGGTTGGGCCGAGGTAGTACGGCCCTGTCTTGAAAGATCATGCTCGGTTAATACAAGGCGTGGTTCGACCGAGCTACATAGCTTCTTGGTATCGAAGCCTGTCAAATGGGTTGTTCGACGCCAGGAAAAACAAGGTTGGACCAAGCTATATGTGTTTCCTCGGCAGTAAGGCCCACGGCAAACATGCGTAGCTGTCCCGAGCTCGGCGATGCCGGGATATGCCCGAGCTCGGTCGAAGCAGAGCGCGGCGAGCAGAGCGCTCTGGCCAGCTATACAACACAACCATCTACAGCCGAGATGATGCATCCCGGCTGCCGAGCTCCCAATAGAGTGGGCTGGCAGTCGGGTTAGGTGATGTTCAGCAAGATTTGTGCTAACAATTGGAATAGTAGCACCACGTGTCGAGAGACGAATGGGAGTGGATTTGGCACGCAGAAGGTATATAAGTAAGTCTGCGCCCCCCATGCTGTGGCGGATGACATTTGGTGAGGTAAACACTAAACACAACTGAGTCCTCTCTCTTTCTCTCTATCCCCGTTTGTGTGTCTGACTTGATCGTCGGAGGGGTTTTCCGGCCACACACCGCCGGGTAGCTCATTACTGTTGTGCACGCAGGTGATCGGATAGAATCGGAGCTCGGAAACAAGGAGTGCGGGCTCGCCTGGATATTTGCTCCCCGCACAATAATCATAAAATAAATAAGAATCAATAGCTAGAGAAATTGAAGCCACATCACAATGAAAAATGCCACCCAACACATGGCATAGTTTAAAATGTTGATTAAGAGGCACAGATGAAAAAAGGGTGTATGAGAATAAGAGAAACATAAATAGATCATGAAGTAAAGGAGACATAGCATATAGCAAATATGAGTATCTGACATAGTTTATAATGTCAATCTTTGACCATACCGTGGTTAATCTACCACAATAGTGCATGCCTTCATATACTAATCATCCTATACAATCCAAAATTACTTAGTCTTATACAGTCTGAAACAAGCTCAGGAGAGAATTTAGTTAATGAATAAAGCATCATTATTGCTTGCCTTTAACATCCGCATTGGCAAACAACCCTATATATTTGCAGCCCCATTTTAACTTTCATTCCACTTTGTTCAATTTTTGAAACCCATTTTCATGCAGCCTATTGAACTGAATTGGCCTAGATGCAGTGCTTCTTCTGGGCTAGGCTACTTACTCCACACAAAATCTAGAAAGCTGGGCTTGATCAATTGGTTGATTAACTAATCCCTTGATCAACTCGGTTGATGCTTTGATCAGAGAATTATCTAGCAATCAATCACCCTACTAATATAGATGAAAACTTCATATTAATAGTCTGAACAGGCACAAGTGTGTGGGGGTGAGTCTTTGGAAGTATAGGAAGATGCAAGAGGGGTGATGGCTTTTGTGGAGAAAATGGATATCCAATGCAGGTGACGGGCCCTATTTGGTGGCAAGGGGGCTGCATATGAGGGGTGGTGGAGATGGGTGGCTTTGACTGCAGTGGTGATATTTTTTTTTTTTTGATAAATAAAATTTGCTTCTCACAACATCAAGAAGATGCTAAAAAATACAAAAAGATCCCCACGAAAGGGGAGGCCACCTAACCAATCAGATCATTCGAAAAATCCAAAAAATGAAACAAATCCGGATCCACATTGCTTGCAATCCAACTATACAAGACTACAAAAAACCTATTCTCTAACCACAAAACATGCCGAGCTACCCCTTGAAAAATATGGCGATTCCTTTCCAACCAAACCAACCACATTAAGCACAACGGGGCCATGGCCCAAGCCTTTTGCTCCCACCTCCAAACTCGACCCCTTCCCCAGCTCCAAAGGACCTCCATCACCCCCCTTCGCTGAAAGCATTGACAATTAATTATAACGGTCGAATCGAAGGAGAAATAGTCAATAGGTGGCAAGTGCTGATAGGAGGGAGAGGCCACTGCTTTTTTTATTTGAAATGAAGTTGAAAAACTTTGTCATGGCATGTGCGGGGGGCTAAATTGCCCTGATAAGAGGAAAGTAGCTAATTCACTTATCTAAGCTTGGAGAGTAAAATGGGGGCTTTTTGCAAGAGACTAAAATTGAAAACATGATCAATGAGCTGGTCAAAAGCCTCTAGAGTTCTTGGTTTGTGAGCTGTGAGGCTGTGTGGTAGTTAGAGGTACAATGAGGAACATCTTAGTTATGTGGGATAGGAGACTGGGAATTGGAGGCTATGGGCGAGTTTCTTGAACT